CCACCCCCACCACACTGGGGCCTTCGGTGGACCTCCCTATGGAGCCACGAAACGCTGTCCTGAGCGGGGGAGACGCATGCGAACCCCCCCACTGGGGCCTTCGATGGAGCTCCCCATGGGGCCACGAAACGCTGTCCTGGGTGGGGGAGACGCACGCGACCCCTCCCCCACACTGGGGCCTTCGGTGGAGTTCCCTATGGGGCCACGAAACGCTGTCCTGGGTGGGGGAGACGCATGCGTCCCCCCCCCCCCCTCCTCCCCCCAATGGAGCCTTCGATGGAGCTCCCATGGGGCCACGAAACGCTGTCCTACGAGGGGGAGACGCATGCGACCCCCCCCCCCTCCCCCACTGGAGCCTTCGATGGAGCTCCGTATGGGGCCGCGAAACGCTGTCCTGGGTGGGGGAGACGCATGCCTCCCCCCCACACTGGGGCCTTCGGTGGACCTCCCTATGGGGCCACGAAATGCTGTCCTGGGCGGGGGGGACGCATGCGACCTCCCCCCCACTGGGGCCGTTGGTGGAGCTCCCTGTGTGGCCACGAAGCTGTATGATGATGATGCTGATGATGATGATGATGATGATGACGACGATGACGATGACGATGACGATGACGATGACGACGACGACTACGACGATGACGATGACGATGATGATGATGATGATGATGATGATGATGATGATGATGATGATGATGATGATGATGATGATGGTGGTGATGATCGTGGTGATGATGATGATGATGATGATGATGATGATGATGGTGATGATGATGATGATGATGATGCTGATGCTGATGTTGATTGTGATGATGATGGGGATGATGACGATGATGATGATGCTGATGATGATGACGGCGGTAGGAGGATGAGGGGGAGGGAGGAGGGAGGAGGAAGGAGGAGGAACGCGGGGCGCCGTCTCTTCAAAACGAGGACCCAACACCACAGGATGGTTGGGAAAAATACGAATACTACTATTACTATCACAAATACTACTAATACGAATATTAATAATAGCAGTCGTAGTGATCGTAATAGTAGTACTTGTTGTTGCTGCTGTTATAGTTGTAGGTGTAGTTGTAGTTGTAGTTGTAGTTGTAGTTGTAGTTGTAGTTGTAGTTGTAGTTGTAGTGGCAGTAGCAGTAGCAGTAGCAGTAGCAGCAGTAGTGGTACCAGCATTCACCGTATCAATCATATGCTTATCATGCGTATTGTTGTCCATTATTCCTGATACCCGTACCGCTGCTAATATTAGTGTTACTGCTATGATCCCCCACCTTCATCATCAGCAGCAGCCACATCCTCATCATCATAACCATCAGCTGGAGCAGCAGCATCATCATCATATCATCATCATCATCATCATCATCATCATCATCATCATCAGCAGCAGCAGCAGCAGCAGCACCACCACAACCACCACCATCGTCACCACCATCATCGTCAGCGTCGTCGTCGTCGGCGGCGGCGGCAGCAGCAGCAGCATTCTCCTCCCCCGTCCGCCTCGCATGCATTCTCCTCCCCCTCCCCGCCCCCTATCCTCCTCCTCCTCCTCCTCCTCCTCCTCCTCCTCCTCTCCTCCTGCTCCTCCTCCTCCTCCTCCTCCTCCTCCTCCTCCTCCTCCTCCTCCTCCTCCTCCCTCCTCCTCCTCCTCCTCCTCCTCCTCCTCCTCCTCCTCCTCCTCCTCCTCCTCCTCCTCCTCCCCCTCCTCCCCCTCCTCCTCCTCCTCCTCCTCCTCTCCTCCTCCTCCTCCTCTCCTCCTCCTCCTCCTCCTCCTCGTCCTCCTCCTCCAGCTCCTCCCTCCTCCTCCTCCTCCTCCTCCTCCTCCCTCCTCCTCCTCCTCCTCCTCCTCCTCCTCCTCGCCTCCTCCTCCTCCACCTCCTCCTCCTCCTCCTCCTCCCTCCTCCTCCTCACCTCCTCCTCCTCCTCCTCCTCCTCCTCCTCCTCCTCCTCCTCCTCCTCCTCATCCTCGTCCGATTCCCTTCCTCCTCTCCTCCTCCTCCTCCTCCTCCTCCTCCTCCTCCGCCTCCTCCTTCCTCCTCCTCCTCCTGCTCCTCCTCCTCCTCGTCCCTCCTCCCCGTCCTCCCCGTCCCCACTCTCCTCCACCTCCTCCTCCTCCTCCTCCTCCTCCTCCTCCTCCTCCTCTCCTCCTCCTCCTCCTCCTCCTCCTCCTCCTCCTCCTCCTCCTCCTCCTCCTCCTCCTGCACACCCGACGGGCGGCGGGGCCCCCTTTCGCAGCCCCGCCCCGCTCGCCGGCGCCTCCTCTTCGCCTCGTCGGCGTGGACGGCGCGAACCGCGCCCACCTCCGCGGCGAAGCGGCAGAACTCCTCCGCGGCGAGGCAGGGAAAAGCCGCCCTCGGCGCGGCCGCGGCGAGATCCATCCGAGGTCGGACGCTACCTCGCACGACCCCGGGGATATGGAGGATACAGAGAAGGGAAAGGAAGGAAGAGGAGGAGAGGGGGGGAGGGAGGGAGGGAGGGAGGAGATGGAGGCGGATGTAGACGAAGATGCTGAAGATAGAGGCGGATGTAGACGAAGATGCTGAAGGAGGAGGACGAGGAGGAGGAGGAGGAGGAGGAGGAGGAGGGTATGGAGGGTATGGAGGGTATGGAAAAGGGAGGAGGATATGGAGGAGGAAGAGGAGAAGGGCGAGGAGATGGAGGCGACCGCCCAGCCCAGCCTCCGGCACGCACGAGGGGAAGGCGCATGGCGGGCGGCCTTCGGGGGGGGGATCCTTGCCCCTGGATCCTGGCGCCGCTTGTGAAGGGGAACTGGGACACGCAAATAAATAACCACAAATAACCAGATTCCCCACATGTTCCCCTATTTTCTGGGTTTCTGTCTTCCCCCCCACTTCCCATATTCGCCGATATTTTCTGGGTTTCTGCCTGCCCCCCATATTTCCCGTATGTTCCTCTATCTTCGGGGGGATCGACATCGACAATTCATTGTGTCTGTGTTTGTTCCCCTCCTGAACTTGTCTTGTCGCGCTGGGCGTCTTCGCCCAGATCCAGGCCACGGGGGGCATCACAGATCGATCCAGCTCGGGAAAAGCAGCAGGCAGCGCGGATCTGGGGCTCTGGTCGCAGTTTCTCGCGAGATTGCATCCTGTTCGCAGAAGCGGACTTTTTGTTCGCAGTGCTTGTGCACAGTCTTGTGCACAGTTGCACGGATGGCGGCGGTCCTTTCTCAAAGCGGGGACCCCGCTGGACACCCAGTTGACCTGTCTGATGATACCTTCTCGCACGTCGCATTTCTGAGTACGCGCTACAAGGATGCGAGTCGATTCCTTCTCAAAGCAGGGCTCTCACCTGGATGGCAGGCCCACAGGTTGCTGGTCTTTCAAGGGGGCGCTTCGCAAGGTGAGAATGAAGACTTGTCGGGACCTGTGGGGAGGGAACGTGGGGAGGGGGTATTGCAACATCCCTGATGCATCTTGGCCTGACTTTAGACTCTCCGCCGACTCGTGTCCTCCTCCTCCACCTCCTCCTCCTCCTCCTCCTCCTCCTCCTCCTCCTCCTCCTCCTCCTCCTCCTCCTCCTCCTCCTCCTCCTCCTCCTCCTCCTCCCTCCTCCTCCGCCTCCTCCTCCTCCCTCCTCCTCCTCCTCCTCCTCCTCCTCCTCCTCCTCCTCCTCCTCCTCCTCCTCTCCTCCTCCTCCTCCTCCTCCTCCTCCTCCTCCTCCTCCTCCTCCTCCTCCTCCTCCTCCTCCTCCTCCTCCTCTTCCTCCTCCTCCTCCATCTTCCTCGTCATACCGAGGGCAACTCTCGACGGCGCCTGGCCCGAACACCGCGCAGGACCGGCGACAAACCGCGGAGCCCAGACAATCCGATGCCTCATTTTTTCCCAGACAGGGCCCCCGAAATGGTGACCCTTTCCCAGGCTCGGCTTCTCATCCTGAGCCGTTCGGTTGATGGCCCCCGGGCCCCCGCGAGGAGGCCCCCAGGTGCCGAAAGCGGCGAAACCAACCAGCGCCGAGTTTTCCGAAACTTTCGAGGTCGGGGCCCTGCCCTCCCCTCACCCCGACGCCCTCCGCGTCGCGGCGCGCTCAGGGTGGCGCGCGGGGGGCGGCATTCTAAGGAGGCGTGGGCGCCTGGAAGGCGGGAGCCTTCGCTCGGGGGCCCCCACACGGCGTGGTGGCCACACCACGTGGTGCGTCCGTGGGGAACCCGGTCACCGCGCAGATTTGGGACTCGGGTACTTCTCCCGGGACATCTCGGCCGACCGGGGCCCCCGAGGTCCAAAAACAGTACGGTGACGGACCGCGCGGTGAGGTCGAGGTCACCGCGCGCTGCGTCACCGCACGGTTTGGGACCCCCGACGCGGAAGAACCCGGAGGCTTGTAAGAGGGCCTATTGAAGCCGGCAGGGCTGCTGAGAGGCCGCCCGCCTTCCAAACAAACCACCAAACAAAAGAGACGCCTTGTCAGAAGACCGCCCTCCTTGTCGTGCTGACCCCTATGCCGCCTTCCTCCTCCTCCTCCTCCTCCTCCTCCTCCTCCTCCTCCTCCGCTCCTCCTCCTGCTTCCTCCTCCTCCTCCCTCCTCCTCCTCCTCCTCCTCTCCTCCTCTTCCATCCCCTCCTCCTCCTCCTCCTCCTCCTCTTCCTCCTCCTTCTTCTCCTCTTCCTCCTCTTCCTCCTCCTCCTCCTCCTCCTCCTCTCCTCCTCCTCCTCCCCCCCTCCTCCTCCTCCTCCTCCTCCTCCTCCTCCTCCTCCTCCCCCTCCTCCTCCTCCTCCTCCTCCTCGTCCTCCTCCTATTATTATTATGACTCGTAGTATTATGCAAAACAGTAAATTTCGTATTGCTCGTGACGAAAAATAGTACTAGACTTATACTTCGTATGATTACGATCAGGATCAGTGTTAATATTAATGTTAGGATTCATGGTCTTGAAACTCATATGAATCCGATTCGTAAAATGAACAGTACTCCTCTTAGTAGTAGTACTACGATTACTGTTGTAATACTAGAATGCTCTTATCATCGTTATTAGCAATAGTGGGA